GATTTTAGAGAGAGAAAAAGGGAGAGGGAGAGAGGTAGAAACATTGATGAGAGAGAACATCGATTGGCTGCCTCCTGCATGCCTCCCGCTGGGGATTGGGCCCACAACCTGGGCATGTGCCCTGACCAGGAATCAAACCGGTGACCTCTTGGTGCATGGGTCGATGCTAAACCACTGAGCCACACTGGCCGGACTACTGTGCTGCTTTTTGTCTGGACACTGTTTCTGTGCACATTTTCTAACTTCAAAGAGAAGAGTAATGGAAAATGTACAGGCCTAAAGATAAGGTCTAGACATTGCTTTTTAAGGTTTTAAACCTCTCCTTTTTCTCAGTATTTGATAATTTTCACTGTTATATAATGTGCAGTCTCTTAATGTGTCACACTTAGTTATTGATATTTATATTAAACAGATTAGCAGACATTTGGTCCTGTCCAAAATGTCCACTGAGGCATTTGGGTCTAAGCCAAAAGGTCCTTGAAATTAAAAAAAAAAAAAGTATTCATTTTTTTTTTTTTCCTTTAGAAAGAGAAAGGGGGAGAGAGAGAGAGAGAGAGAGAGAGAGAGAGAGAGAATAAAATGTTGATTTGTTGTTCCACTTATTTATACATTCATTGATTGGATCTTGTATGTGCCCTGACCAGGGATGGAACATACAACCTTGGTGTATTGGGATGACACTCCAATCAGCTGAACTACCTGCCAGAGCAAAAGGGTTCTTGAAATTTGGTCTTGTCTGAAATGTCCTTGGACACATTAGGTCCTCATCTAAAGGTCTTTGATAGTTGGTCCTATCCAGAATGTCCATGATTAGAAAACATCTGTGGGTTCAGATAGTCCATAATGTTTATTTATACTTTTGGTTTCATACATAAAACTACTACCTTGTTTTTTTGATCTAGTAATTGTGTTGTGGCTGTATTATCAGTAATAACCCTTCTTGCCTTGGTAGCCTAGCTGGTAACCATGTGTCTCTGTGAATGTTTTGGATAGCACCAAATGTCCTACAAGGGTTAAATAAAATGCACTGTTTTCTTCTGAATCTGTTCATGAAATTTATCATTTAACCAAAGGTTATCTAAGCCCTAGGGGCTGCTGTTGCTCAATGCCGTGTAATAATCAAGGTCACATGGAGCACTGAAGTTGCTTGCGTTTCTGGAGCTTGCACATGCATTTGAGACCTTCAGCCTTCTCAGAAGCTCAGCGCAGGCCGACAAAGTTGTATGATTCTCCAGTTTAGTATTTGCCATAATACGTAGTTTTGTTGGAAATTGGTTAATAATGTAACAGTAGGCAGTTTTATGAGTCTTTTTAGGAGTGTGCTTTTGTCTCCTCTAACATAAGGCAATATGGTAATTGGAAGACGATTAGAGGTGGGTTTTCCAAAGTGTTTTTTTTGTAGAATACTAATTCTGTAGATTGTTAATAGGTATTACATGGGATAAAATAGTTAATTAAGTTTGGGAAACAGGGCTAAGTAATGTTAAATAGCTTTCTTTCTTGAAGGGCTTCTAAGAAGTTTTCTTATGTTGGTGGTTTGTGAATTCCTAAGGTGAATGAATGAATCTACAAAAGTTTGAAAATATCGGAAACATAGGATGAACTTATGTTTACAATAATTATACTATTGTTCCTGTGTTTATAGATTTTGGGCGCATTTTGTACTCTTTATTGTGCTTATTTAAGGTTAATTGGATTATTTGATTTAATATTAGAGCTGCTTCTCAGGTATCTGGAGGTTAAAGAAAAATAGTTTAGCATATAATTTGAAAATATACCTAACGTACTGTTTAAAAATATGTTCATCCTATATTTCTTTTCCAGACTCACTCTGTACTACAGGGTTTCACAACTATTTTCATTTCGGAGTCTTTTTCTTATGGATCATTTTCAGGGACTAATGTTTCATGCATCATACTTTGGGAAACAGAGGTCTGGCCTTAAAGTCTTCTTCAATTTGACTACTTCGTGAAAGTGTTCAGTTTTCATAATAGAGGGGAGATGTTTCAGATATTTGCTCTATCATATTCACTGTCAGATTTTGGTTTGACATTGTTATCACAATTCTACCAATTACTAGCTCTATAACTAAGCTTTAAGTTTTGCATCTAGAATGGAGATAATAGATCTTATTCTTAGGGTTATTGTGAGGGTTAAGGCACATCTTTCATGTAAAAAGATTTAACATAGTGCCTAATGCAGAATAAATACTGAAACTTTGTGGTTATAGGGAATTATACACGCACATGTTTCTCTCACATTTTAGAGATGGATGGTTTATCTTTTGGCCTTGTTCTTAAATATTTCTTAGCATGAGCCACATGTCTGGGTGCTGTGTTGAAATTTTAATACGAAAGCCTCTTCTTAGTTTTGTAGTTTTTTCTAAATGGAAAATCTGTAGCACTTAATCTAATAGGGTGTATTTATGACTCACATTTACCTTTGTATTCTGTAGCAAAAGTATGTTCTAAATCATTAAGAGCCCAAGTATCTATGGTTAGGCTATTGATGGTTTCAAAGCATTAAAGATGGTTTCAGAGGGAAGAATTTAGCCAGTCCCTGAATTGCACATGTAAACACACATGCCTTGAAAGTTGCCAGGCTTCCTGAGAATTGTATTTCACGTTTGTGATGAGGCAGTGTCTTGAGTTCTCACAGTCTTCCTGCATATTTTTTGAAACGTGTTCAACAGTCTATATGTAGCTTGTCTGTTCTATGGTGGAATAAACAAGTAATAACTGCAGGCAAAAGAATGAGAACCTAGTTAAATGAGGTCGAAATGGTTGAAATAAATTGGTGATAACGGTTCAGAACCATCAGTCAGAAGTATATCCTTTAGCATTTCTTGCAGTGCAGGGAATGCTGGCAACAAATTCTCTCAGCTTTCCCGTGTTTGAAAACAGCCAGCGGGAAAAATACAAACATAGAGGGCTGTTTGCAAGAACAGTGGCCTGAATGATGGACTTCTTATCAGGAACAAATAGCAACTAGTAGACAACAAAGTTATTAATTTTTATAAAGAAATTTTAGTCCTGGCTGGTTTGGCTCAGCGGTTAGAGCGTTGGCCCAAGGACCAGAGTCTTGGGTTGAACTCCAGTCAAGAGCACGTAAACCTCAGTTGTGATTCGGTACCTGGTCGGGGTGGTGCAGGAGGCGACCAGTCTATGTCTCTCATCGATTCCACCCCCCCCCCCCATCTGAGGGTAAGTAGAAAAATATCCTCAGGTGAGTATTTAAAAAGCAACAAGAAAACAGTTTGCCACATGAGTTGCAAACATTTAAAAACAAATTTTAGAATTACAGATTTTTTCTAATTGCTGTGCAGATAATTAAAAGTAAAAAGAATACTGTTTAATCTTTTAACTAAAAAAAAGTACACTTATTGGAGAATAAATGTAGGTTTATAAGAATATACAGGAGTTAGATGATATTTTACCAACATATACAATTGTCCCTCACCACTTCGGGCTTCGACTTTCGCGACTTCACTCTATCGCGTTTTTTTCGAATACTATACTATAGTAATAATAAATAAAGGATCCTGCTTCACGGAAATTCATTTATCGCGGTAGAGTCTGGAACTGAGTAACCACGATAAATGAGGGCTGACTGGATAGTGTTTTAGCTTCTTTAAAACCTTGATTTCAAGTTTTATAGCAAGTCTTCAGAAGTAGTTGGTCTCACATGACAATGGTTTGAACATTTTATATTTATCTGTGGTGCCTCTTATTTAGATTCTACAATACTATGATTAATTAAATATTTTTTATTTGTTTAAAATAGTGTTAATGTCAGTTTCAAAGGAATAATTTTATTGCATATTTCTTTCACAGTTATCTATATAATAAACGTGTTTACTGAGCTTTATTACAGTTAAAATTATACTATAAAGTTTTTTAAATGTGGTCATACAACCATCATAATTGCAATTTTTGATGAGTATATCGTGTTTTGTACTTACCTGCTCCTCTACTGTTGAACGTTTAGGTACTTTCTTTTTAAAGGCTATTATAGATAAAACTATGGTTAACATATTTGTGCAATAGTATATACTTAAAAAAAAATTATCTCCTGGATAAATTCCCATGATTTATGTTTATTATATTTTATTTTAATTTATATGGTATTTTACTTTACATATAATTTATTTTCCAAATACTCACACAGTGCTAATTCTGTGTGCCAGCAAGGTTAAGTGCCTTGTTCCAAGTCAGATAGCTAGCAAGTGGCCGAGCAGGCTGCTGCAGTCTGTGCTCTTACAGCTTTGCTCTGATACCTCTTTGGGTACATCTTGCCAATTAGCTCTCTCAAAAAAGGATTGCACTTATTATTTTCAATCAGTTTCACCATAACTTACCAGTATTGGATGATAAAATATAAAAATAAAACAATAAGTACAAAACGATATACATTTTTTTACTCTGTAAAAGTATATGATAAAGTAGATTAATTTAGAAATAAAGCAATAAGTTAAATGTTTGTTCATTAAAAAAAGCTTTTCTGTGTGATTGTTTTTTACCATTAGAAATTTGAAAGTAAAGGGGACATTGACTAAGGTAATTGCTAAAGGAAATGGTATTTTGGTGATTCCTAGAATGAATTATCTGTCTTTAGAGACAGATCACATTGTTCAATAACTTTATTTAGCAAGTATTTTGTAGTAGAGATACTTAATTGTACAAAAATATGTTTTGAGAAGAGTTTTCTATTTGTTAATGAAAATCTTTAAAATTATTTGCTTAAGATGAATATTTAGAATTCTAAGGGTACTATCTGTTTATAGTTGAAAATTAAAAACCACGCAGGAGGGTCTAAATTAAAAAATAAAACCCTCCTTTTCCCCGAGTGCCCCACTCTCAAATCCACTAGAAATGTAAAAACCGTCTAGTTTCCCATCTGCTGTTCTTATTTTCCAGCTGTAACTACTATTAATGATTTGTAACATTTATTTTTTATATAAAAGTCTAACTTCTTTCTTTCTTTCTTTTTTTGTGTTGGAGCTGTGAATTCTTTGGAATTGTGAATATTCTTTTGAAATACGGAGTCCAGCTAAATGAACTTCATTTGGCATACTGCCTGAAGTATGAGAAGTTTTCAGTATTTCGTTACTTTTTGAAGAAAGGCTGCCCACTGGCACCATGGGACTGTATATCTGAATTTATAAATCATGCAATTAAAGCACAGACAAAATATAAGGAGTGGTTGCCATCTCTCCTTCTTGCTGGATTTGACCCATTGAATCTTCTATGCAGTTCTTGGTAAGAAATCCTACAATAGTGGGCCTTACCTTTTTTGAGTGACTATACTCTTTTTAAGAGTATAATTTCTTAATACCCTGTGTTGGGATGAGGGCGTGTGTGTGTTTGACTGTGATGGCTGGCCTGGGGAGCTGCTAATAGCAAGATTGACTATAGGGGTAGATTCCTGGTAAAAGGTAGGAAGGAGGTGACTGGAAGGGAGTAGAAAGAGATGGATACCCATAAACTCTCCTGAGAAGGATATTTTCCTTAGGCCACCCCTCATGCTCCTGTGAAAATGCCTCTGACAGGTGGTTGTAGCGGCTTGTAGATTTCTGTTATCCTTTAGCTAGATTGAGCGCTCCTGTTCTACAGCATCTTGTTGATTTGAACTTTGCCTCCTTTAATAAACACTGATTTCTGAAGTAGCTGAGGACGTAACTTGTTTACTTTAGGTAGTTTCTCAGAAGGGTAGCCTCTATGGGTGATTATATGAAAGTTGGGTCAGGATTTTTCTTGGGCAAGAAGAGAACTGTTTCTATACCTTCTAGCCTTTGCAAATGTTGTTAGTGTCTAGTTGGGGCTGAGAACGTAGTTGTAGTAGTGAGAAAACTCTTTGGCCTGATAATTCAAGTCAAGTGAGAAAATAGAATAAATGTTTCCAGGAAAATAGAGGACGGGTATTTTATAAAATTTCAATAAAACATTCCAGAAGGCTTAATTTTTGTGTTTTAAAAACTGCCAAAAAGGGGGACATCTATACTACTTTAAAAATATATATATCTATGTATTTAAAACATAATTAAATAAAAACTACCATTTACTAAAATAACAAGACTGAGACAAATACTGAGATTTTCTGTGTCAGCAGAAAAGTGCTTTGATATCTTATTTATCTTTTCAAAAGCAGTCCTCTTTGGGGATCACGCAGGCAACTGAATGGTCCCTACTTGTAAATCTGCTTTGGATTGCTGGAGACCGTCTTCCACCTGGTGGCTTCTCCATCTGTAGGTGAAGAACAGGTCTTTATTTGGCAGTATTCCAGTATTTCACCTTTTTATTATGTCTGCCATTGTAAATTATTCAGAAATTGTCACTAAGCAGAGGTTTTATGCCTAGGGCTGTGTGGTAGCTGGTTTGAGGACTACAGAAGCAAAAGCAGAGCTTAGACACAATTCTCATCCCCACTGTACTTTTTGATTGGTTTACAACAGGTTGAGTCCCTGATTGTATTTGCTGCTTTCTCCAGCACCTGATTAATACATCGTTATCTGTCAAGTGCTCATTGTTGCAATTTCCTCTACAGTTTTTCAATAAATTTTCACCAAAACATTGTATTTTTAAGGTAATTGAATGAAAGATTGTTGACAGTTTTTTGAGAAATCTCTGATTTTTTAAAAAGTTACTCATATATGTATATTTGTCTTAACAAATACACACACGCAAGGGAGATATAAACACTCGCTAATGAATGCTGAATCTAGCTATTAACAAAGCTATTTAAGTACCCTTCCCATTTTACTTAGTGAATTTTATTGTTGTGTTTGGGCTCCTGACAGCTGGCAGCAGTTGCCCCTCACCATTCTAGGATTCACCCCTTGACCACAGCTGGAAATCCAGCCCCAAACGTGGGGAGCTGTGAGCAGCCTTGACAGTGTGTCCCCTTTCCTTTCTTCCCTCCGTTGGTTCTCGTCCCGAGGCACCTGCTTTCTCGTCTACTGAAGCTGCCGACTCAGCTCCACATTACTTTCAGTTCTCTGGTTTCTAGTATGTGTTTCTGGTTTCTAATCTATTTCTTTAACCAACACTTAGAATACTACCTAACACATGGTAGGCACTATTTTAAGTTCTTTACTGTATTAACTTATTTTCTATCAAATACACTGGATACTATTATTTTTACTTTACAAAGGAGAAATTGAGGTACAGTGATTAACATACTTGCCAAGTTTACTCAGCTAATTAGTACTAGAGCTAAGTTTTGAATCCAGGTTGTCTTATAGTTTGGCTCAAGTCTGTCTTTCTAACCACTGTGCTGTGCTGCCTTAGCCCTGCACATCCACAGGGATGTGGTGGTTACCTCACTTGATTTCAGGTATCCTTTTTTAAAATTTAGTCAATTAATCTTTTTATTAACAGATGTCCCTCCTTTTCCCCCTCCTCCCCACTCCAGCCCCACCCCCACCCACCTTCACCACACTATTGTCTGTGTCCATTGGTTACGTCTATATGCATATAAGTTTTTTGGTTTATCCCTTCCCACCCTCACATGCCCCCCCCCCCCTTTCCCCTGAGGTTTGTCAGTCTGTTTCCTACTTCCATGTCTCTGGATCTATTTTGTTCATCAGCTTATTTTGTTCATTATATTCTAATAAGTGACAAAGATTAAAAAGTGAGATCACTAAATAAGTGAGATCATGTGATACTTCTCTTTTTCTGATTGGCTTATTTCACTTAGCATAATATTCTTCAGGTCCCTTACAGGGGTAAGAGATCTTTTTTTTTTTTTTCTAACAGCTGCATAGTATTCCATTATGTAGATGCACCACAGCTTTTTTTATCCACTCGTCTAGTGATGGACATTTGGGCTGTTTCCAGATCTTACCTATTGTAAATAGTGCTGCTATGAACATAGGGGTGCATATATTCTTTCTGATTGGTGTTTTAAATTTTTAGAGTATATCTCTAGAATTGGGATCACTGGGTCAAATGGCAGTTCAATTTTTAATTTTTTAAGGTAATGCTATATTGTTTTCCATAGTGGCTGCACCAGTCTGCATTCACACCAGCAGTGCACTAGAGTCCCTTTTTCTCCACACACTTACCAATTTCAGGTATCTTAATCCCTTGCCCCTACCTGAGGGATCTGTGACAGTTTATCTTATTCCTTTTTGTTCCTAAATTAGGAAGCACCTATCAGGGAAAAAAATTAAACATTGCCTTTTATCCTTTCCTCTGCTCAGCCAATTACATAGACTACTGGAAGGAGAGGGAATTATTTAGATTTATTCTGCTAGAAGGCTTTGTAAAATATACTCTCCCATCCTAGTTCTGATAGAGCCCCCCCCCCCATGTGAATAGTCCATTTGAAAATTTTTGTGGTAATCCTCTAAATATGGTGTGAGCTATATTTATTGGATGGGTTAGACAGACAAGAGTTAAGAACCAGTAAACTTCAAATTGTTTTGAAGTAAATTGTAAAACTTGCAGCTGTTAAGATTGACAATGCCAGTTGCATATAGTTTACTCAGAAGGGGTAAGTTTGGTAACTTTATATTCATTAGGAAAAATACACTAGAAAATTTCACTTCAGCAATAAAAGTGCTTAACATGGTCAAATTTTTGTTCACCGATCTTTTATTGAATGGATAAAGCCAGTGTTTACACTGAATATGATAAATGTTTTGCTTTCTTTGATCAAATTTACATTCATAGATAGAGCTGTTATAAGAAAAATTCTCCCATAAAATTCCAGTATGCTGTTAAAGTGGATTTTGGTTATATTTTATTTATATCACATGTAAGTCTGTTGCTTAATCTTTGTCATGTAAATTATAAATGTCTTTCCTAGGTATTTTTTGCCTTAAATGTTCTTTAAAAATATGTCTGGCTGAATAATTGCCCATCACAATATAATCTACAGAGTTGAAATATTTTTTAACTTTAAATGCAAGGCTAGGTGTGTACCTCCATCCGAATGTAATACGTAAGTAATAGAAACTAAATGTCATCCGTGCATTTGGTTGATTAACTCACTCATTTATGATTGTACAACTGCTTTGTACAACATAATGGTCAGTGTAGTGGTAACAAAACATTTTTAGTGGCGTTATCAGCATTGGTAAGATTAGTTACATTATCTAAAGCTGTATAAACAGACTCATTTCTCGTGTGTATGTTTAGATAACTGAATAAAAATGACTAGGTGTTTGGTTCCAGTGTGACTTAAAGCACATTCATACAGAAAAATGAAACCGTTAAAAAAGAAATAACGAGCCAGAACCAAGTAACCTTTGGTGTGGAGTTCCTAGAAAGTCAAGATTTTTTTTGCCTTTCAATATATTTTATCATTTTATTTGTTCTCAGTATTTCCTGATAAGTTGTGATTTTACTGAGAGCTTCTTGAGAAGTAAAATATTTTCCCAAGGCATTTGTGCAACACCAGGTTCTTTATTATATAGAAGTTTGCACATTAGAGAATTAAGAATTTGGGAAATAATTTTCATACTCAAATCAGTCATTTCAAGGACACTTTCACCCTGAATTACAAAAAGTAAGTTGTGTTTGTGATGACAAGTTTCGAGTATTGTTCATTTTCTTTCTTTTTTAAAATTTTGTTATCCTCACCTGAGGATATTTTTCCATTGATTTTCAGGTAGAGTGAGAGGGAGGAAGAGAGAGAGAGAGAGAAACATCGATGTGAGAGAGATACATCGATTGGCTGCCTCCCACATGACCCCAACCAGGGCCAGGGATTGAACCACAACTGAGGTACATGCCCTTGACTGGAATTGAACCCACAACTGTTTGGTCTGCAGGCTGACACTCTAACCGCTGAGCCAAACCATGCAGGGCTCCGTTTCTTTTTTCCTTCTATTTTTTCCCTTTCTTTATTCTCTGCTTAGTAGTGAGTCCAAAAAATGAATTTAAAAAATGACCTTGGAAAGAATTTCTATTTTTGAAGTAATTATTTTTCTTCAGACAGAATGATGGTAGGGGAGTATCTAAGTGAGTACAAGATGGACAGTCTTATTTAGGATGTATGGTTCTCTTTAAGCATTGACTAACTTTCATGTTATCAGGCCTACTGAAAATTTCAAACCAGTTCTAATATCAAACATTTATGTAATATTTTATAGTTTTGAAAGTATGTTTACTATATTTTCTCATATTATTTTCACATTTAGTGCCCTGAAATAGGTTAAGTGTTGTTCTTATGTCAGAAGACCAGGATCAAGGGCTTAAAGAGTTTCAGCAACATGTTTGTGAGTAGTGGAGGTAGCATTAGAAATCAGAAACTTTGCTAGAGCAGTGCTCTTTTCGTTAGGATTCAAGTGATGATAAAATTTGGGGAAGTCGCTTTGGGCTAGGTTGGTAGGAAATCTGAAATTTATTTTGTAAAAATAGAGGGAGAACTGTTCATCTTGGATACTTTCTTTCAGTTCTTAGAGATGAAACTGATTCTGCTCCATCCTTTAGAACTGAACCTGTAATGAGGAAGATTCTTAGAGGAGAACAGTTGTACCTCCCTGGGAGTTGGGCAGAAACAAGCCATATCTCCCGTATACTTAGATTAGGGATGGATTGGGGTGTTTGGGTTTTATCCTTTCAGGACTATTAAAGCACATGGTCCAGTTGGGAGGAGATAAATCCGCTGTTGACACTGGTGCTGTCTCTGTCTTTCCCCACACTGCTGCTGGGAATGGGAAGGACAGTTCCCATACTGTACAAGAGTAGAGCCTCCCCTTGTCATCTGTTGGACAGCTGCGCACAGTTCTGTTTCCTGTGGGAACAGATGATTATTCATATCTGCTGAAGTTGCCTCTAGTTACATGAATATTTTCTGTGCCCCAGTTTTCTGTTGCCTTCCATATTGAGGTGTTGTAAGAATAGGTCTGTGGTGTTTGTTTTCAGGGTGAAAGTTGATGTATTTGGTGTCTAATGGTGTGTGTTAACATCTTGCTCATACAGGATTGACTCAGTCAGCGATGACATCCTTATCTTCACTTTGGAGTTCACTAATTGGAGGAGACTTCCTCCAGCTGTCGAAAAGATGCTCTCTGCTCGTGCCTCACACTCCTCTTGGGCTCTACAGCAACATGTTGGTAAGAAAGGACACTCTTAAAACACACTCCACTACTTTTTCTTCGCTTCCTCTCTGGCTGTGTTGAAATATTAAGTAATAAGGGTTGTTGGAGAACATATTAAATTGGGCATCATTTGCATTTTCTTCATGTGGAGAAAGGATGGGACTGAGGGGAGTTCATAGTGATTTCCTTCAACACAAATCATGTCTGATTTTATAAGTTTAGCCTAAGGAACAGATAAAGAAAAGGAGGCATTTACTGATACTTTTATTTGAAGATATTCTTTTGTTTTTAGTAAGGAATTTATGTAAACAAAAGTGAGTTTACGTAAAAACCTTGTTAGTGAATATTTAGTTTGTCAGAAAAATGCTAAACTTAATTTTCCTTTTTAGGGTATGTTTGTATTTGTGTTCTCTCTTAAATATCTTATCATTTCTAAGAGGAGGTATTACCATTGTTTATTTCTGCTTGTTCTTACTGCACGTATGCTGATGTGTTGATAATGTAATTATGGAGGTGAGTTGAGTGAAAATTCTGTGTATTGGTTGATATTTAATATGACTGCCCTCAAATTGATCGATATTTTATGACTGTTTTAAAACAAATTTTCAACTTATTCTCATTATTAAAAAAATTTTTAAGCCCTGATTCAGTTGGGTGGGCGCTGTCCTCTGCTCCGAGAGGTCACTGGTTCAGTTTCTGGTCATCCCGGGTTGTGGGCTCGGTCCTTAGCAGGGGGCCTGCAGGAGGCAGCCATTTGATATTGTGTTCTCACGTCTATGTTTCTTTCTTCTCCCTTCCTCTCTCTCTAAAAATTAATAAACTATTATTTTATTTATTTATTTTTTTTATCCTCACCCGAGGACATTTTTCCATTTTTTGTTCAGATAGAGTGGGAGGGAGAGAGAGGAAGAGAGAGAGAGAGAAACATCAATGTGAAAGGGACACATCAAGTGGCTGCCTCTTGCACGACCCAACCAGGGCCGGGGACAAACTGCAACCAAGGTACATGCCCTTAGCGGGAACCGAACCCGGGTCTCTCTGGACCTCAGGCCGACACTCTAACCGCTGAGCCAAACCGGCCAGGGCAATAAACTATTCTTTAAAAAAAGTTTTAAAGCTAATTAAAAAAATTGAAGAGCACACACAAGGAAATCAGTTTAAACATAATATATGCAAAGTATTCCTATTTTGTTATTCAGATTTACTTTACTTTAACTATATTTTGTTAACCAGATTATGTGTCTTAAGAAAATTATTTCTTCACTGCTATTTTTACATGAAATGTAACTGCATAAATCATGTAGAATAGGGTTGTTGTTTTTTTTTTATCTTCACCCGAGGACATTTTTCCATTTTTTGTTCAGATAGAGTGGGAGGGAGAGAGAGAGAGAGAGAGAGAAACATCGATGTGAAAGGGACACATCGAGTGGCCGCCTCCCGCACGACCCAACCAGGGCTGTGGACAAACTGCAACCGAGGTACGTGCCCTTAGCGGGAACTGAACCCGGGTCTCTCTGGACCTCAGGCCGACGCTCTAACCGCTGAGCCAAACCAGCCAGGGCTTGAATAGGGTTTTAACAAGTGAATTTATGCATATGTAAGAAAGTCTTATTTATCGGAAAATTATGTTTAAGTAAATTTTCTCAATCAAAAGCAGACATTCAGAAAAATATGCTCTTGAGCTGAGGTGTATTCAAACTGTTACAGAGGTTTCTGTTGAAGAAAAAAGTAATCTGGAGTCTGAGCCTTCTAGTATAGATTTTTTTTTTTAATGGTAATGTTGGAAAACTCACATGCAATTCTTACTGCTGGGAATTGCACCTGCTTTTACTAATTATGCATCTGCAGCAGCAGAGAACAATGATCTATTCAGAACAGATAGAATACGGGGCGGTGGACTTGGGAACAAAATGTCAAAGAAGAAGCATATGCCAAATGGGAAACTTATTGCAGCGTGTCAGCAAAGATATGCGAGAGTTTACTCTGAAGACTTTATATGGCAAGTTTGTCCAGATGAAGGCAAAAATTGTGCATTTGTACATTATTCTGCAATAGACTGACTCCATCAAGGGCTTCTTGTTTAATTAGGCACTAGGTAGAGATTGTGTATGGTAATAACCATCATCTCTTAAGAGGATTTTATTTTGGCTGAAGATTTGCAAAAGCCTTTTTCTTCTTGGTTCCAGTCTCATGTATTCAGCTGCCTTTTGAATATTTCCACTTGGCATATCCCATGTTTTGATATATCCAAAATTTGAACTTGTAATTTCTCCTACAACTCCTGCTGTTCCTTCTGTTTTTTTTTTTGGTTCAGTAGGTGAGAGGGTTTGGGAGTGCTGTTTGCTGGGAAAGTGAGTTATCCCTGGCAGCTGTTAATTTCATCCATAGTGGTGATGTTCAACAGGGATGATGACTTTGTCTCCTCCCCCTCAAGGGATAGTTGGCAATGTCTTGCAAACATTTTTTGGTTGTCACAATTAGTAGGGGTACTATTGCCATCTAGGGGATAGAGGCCAGACATGCTGCTAAACAGCCCCCGATAACAAAGAACTATCTGGCCCCAAATGTCAATAGTGCTGAGGTTGAGAAATCCTGATCCATATCCGCTCTCGTGTTGTCCGGTCTTTAGGTGTTTTATTCCTATCCTGGAAAGACTTTTTAACCCTGTTCTTACTGCAGACTACTTAGGAAAAGTGTGTGCTTTTCTCCTTGTCACATTGGTGTTTCAGGGTACTCTTCAGTGGCTCCTCTTCTGCATTACAATTCTGGATGTTAGTGAGGCTGGAGGAATCACCTTTGTATTCAGAAACTTTTCTTGTATCAGAAAGAAAATGTGTGCTAGGTAAAATTTACTGACTGGTTGCAGCTTTAAGAACAATTATTTGTTATTTTTCAGTTCAGTCGACAGATTATTTTATAATAATTTCAGGTGTACAGCATATTTAGTTTTTTATTTTGTTCACATAATTTTGATTGTGTGCCTTATTTATACCTCTTAAAAACATCAGTTTAACTACCACATAGTTTAATTAAAAAATTTTGACAGTTTCTGGCTAACTGTCCAAGATCAAGTCTAAGTAATTACATTCTCATGGATAAAAGAACTTGGCTTTATTTAGTTCATTCTGAATCTTTAATTATCAAATATGTACAATTCTATGAAGAATATTTCATGGCTCTGAATTCTGCAAAGGATCCTAAAAGTACCCTAGGAAACTCTTGATCTATTTATTTCAACATTCCTCTCTTTGTTTAAAAAGGATTTAAAATAGTTTATAATGTAGATTATCATAAAACAGTAAAACAAGTTAAAAGTGGAAGCAAAAGAAATGTGAAAAATAAAATGGGTTGGATCTAAAGCCGGGTCAGGCGAAGCATGTCATGGTGATACGACACTTGTTAGGCTGTAAGTTTGGCTCTGACTGAGCTCTCTAGTCACTGATAGCAGATTACAGAGTTCAGAAGATAAAATGGACGTGTTGCTCAGGAGTCAAACTATTCTTGGATGTTGTAATGAACAGTTTCCTAGACAGTATCTTGGGACTTTATTTTGCCAATCGTCAGTGCATGTGGAGTCTTGCTATCATACCAAAGTATAATTTAGTACAGACAGTTCTTAAGTGGTCAGTACAATGTGGTCCAGGTACTCAGGTCTCTGTTGTTCTAACTTGACCAGGGCTAGATTTAAAACATCTGGAGGAATGGATAACCTGTGTGCACTTTGAGCCGTTCTCACTAAATATTGTCTCTCTCAACCCAATTTTTAACAATAGTTAGTTAGCAATGAGTTCAGAATTAAGATATAGTACAGCTATTTTGTGTTGCAGATTGAATTGAGAACATATTTTTAAGAGATAGTTGATCCTTTCCTAAATTCTCTCAAACATACAGTACGTAGTCTCATGAGCCCCATACCTCTGGCTAAGTGGCTCCAGGTCTGGCACTAGAAGCAGCCAGCCTTGGATCACAGTTTGGCTTTGCCTTGCACCTCCAAGACCAGCACAAGAAGCAGCCATCTGTAGATTGCTTTGTAGCTTATCCCTGCCATCCCAGGTAGAACACAGACAGAGGCTGACCTTGCCCCAGAGCCAGAACACCCAGTGGACCGCTTCAGACCCTGTCAAAGTACCACCACCCAACCACCTCCACAAGTGACACACTCAAGGACTAGATTTAGTGGGTACCAGAGCCTTGCTGAAGTAAGTCTTGCTCTGTGTGGTGGGCCCTGCATAGCTGATCCTCCAAGGTAGTCAGAGGACAGTGGTCAATGGGCACAGCCAGTCCTTGCAACTGATCAGCTTGAGTACATCCCTCCCATTGATGTGCCAACAGCAATCAAGACTCAGTTACAACAGGGGGTAAACAGTCCACACAAGGGGTGTACCTTGAGGGCCCAGCTGAGGTGACCAGGAAGGCTGTTTCACTGGACCCTACAGGATACCTACTATAATAGGCCACCCCAGAAAGCCTAGGAGACATAGCAACTCTACCTAATACATAGAAACAAACACAGGGAAACAGCCAAAATGAGGAGACAACAAAACATGTCCCAAATGAAAGAGTAGAGTAAAACTCCAGGAAAACAACTAAATGAAATGGAGATAAGCAACCTAATAGGTGCAGAGTTCAAAACACTGTTATAAGGATACTCATGGAATTTAGTGAGAATGTCAAGAAAATAAAAAAGGACCAGTTAGAAATGAAGGATGCACTAGCTGAAATAAAGAATAATTTATAGGGAATTATAGGTGAAGCTAAGAAGCAAACCATCGATTTAGAATATAAGGAAGCAAAAAACACCTAATCAGAACAAAGAATCCCCCCCCCAAAAATGAAGATAGAGTAAGGAGTCTCTGAGACAACTTCAAGAGTACCAACATCATGGGGGTGCCAGAAGGAGAAGAGAGCGAAAAAGAAATTGAAATCCTATTTGAAAAATAATGACAGAAAACTTCCCTAACTTGGTGAAGGAAACAGACATACAAGTCCAGGAAGCACAGAGTCCCAAACAAGAT